TAATTAAGTAATTCAAATTTGATTCTTAATGATCGTGGATAATTTTTTATTTTTTTTAAACTAGTTTCTATGCTTGTTTCAATTCCTCCCATATGTAAAGATGGGCAAAATACACTTCAGTGATATTTTTAAAAATAAATTACAGATTAATGAAAAAAAATTATAAATTTAATTATTAAACTATATAAAATTTACTATGAAACTGATATATATATATATATATATATTTTAAATGTTACACTGGATTGTGATTCCCCAATAAAGAAACCAAAAGCTATGATATAAGCGAACCAACATGCATGAACAAGCAATTAAATTCGATAAACCACTTGCCAAAAGACAAAAATATAAATAATCTTTTGAGTAATGTTGCATTTATCATCTTTTTATATCATCTCATGTGTTAGCAACATGGGTGGTAAGACCCATTACACCAATAATAAATTAACATATGAGGTGATACATTGAATGTGATATAAAAAGATAGTAAATGTAACGTTATTGTAATCTTTAAATAAAATTTCATACATAAAAAATTATTACAATTATATGACACATTGTACGTAAAATTTGTTATAATAATAATAATAAATATAAATATAAAAGTTTTTGTTAACATATAGCCTAAGGACATATGTTAGGAAAATATTAAATGAATATATTTATATAAATTTGTATAGAACATAACACTACTTTAAAGGTGTCTTAACTAGTTTGTTTGTTTGGTTTTCTTTTTTTTTTATTTTTTTAAAATTTTTTATTTTTTAAGGAGACCAAAATACTCATTTTTTTTTGCACTCTTCACCTTCTTTATTTTTGAGTTTCTTTTAATATGTTTTTCTAAAAAATATTAAAATTTAGCTTGGTGAAAAAAAAAATTCAAACACTTATTTTCATATGATTTTTTTTTTTGGAACATAAAATAATATTTAAAAATTCAAATATATATTGTTAATCATGTGATTTAATTTTGATGATATCTAAAATATGATGGGATAATTTGTGAATTTTAAATATACATATTTTATATTTTTTGATACAAAATATTGTCTGTTTAAAATATATGTTGTATGATATATTTGTTATAAATATTTTTTAAATAGAAATTACTGTGCTATATTTGATTTTACGAAAATATTTTGAAAAATTTAGTATTCACATGTTGAAAAATCCAATATCTTTTGACAAATTTGATATTGATTGGTTATCTTCTTCCAACAAAATTGATATACCCCACATGGGTGGTGGGTTATTTTTTACTAAAGTGCATTTAAAATCTCTACAAAAATTTTAAAAGAAGTACATATTATCAGATATGATATATAAATATTATTTAAAAAGATTTTACTATGCATACAAATATTTTAATAAAAAAATTACTGTGTGATCAAATATTTTAATAGAAAAATTATTGTGCAGTCACTATGTACCATTTGATTTTTCTGTGAGAAGTTTGAAAATTTACTCTTAACTATTTATCGAAAGCGACCTTTGGTTATTTTTCCATCCTCCGCCTGCAAAATTTGAAAAGGAAAATTGCCCCGTTGCTCCATGTGTCAGAGGCATCGAATTCAGCATGAGGAGCGTCTCTCCTCCAACGGATATGAGCGCCTCTTCTCTTCTCCCAACGGATATAATTTTATGATATATAAGGAATATTTTGGTTGGAGAAAAATAAGTAAAAAAGAAGTGAAGAAGAGAAAATCTATGGTATTAAAATATTCTCAAATATTGTATTGCGCTTCATTTGAGTAAAATTATAAAATGATTTTCTATCCCTTATTCATATTATTCTTGTAAAAAGAGAGTTTTTGTGAGTGATTTTTTGGGATAAAATCACTTAGGTTAGGTGTGACCAGGCACCATATTCTAAACTAGTCAGAGTGATCAGGATTGGTCACTTATTGTAAAGGTTCACTAGCACCCGTGAAACTAGTGGTGTAATTACTATTTGAAAAAGAGTGGAGAAATTCCCGAGGAGAATACTTGGGGAGTCACTACAAGAATTAACACATTTGCCGACCAAAAAATTGGTCGGCAAAAGTCTAATTTTTGGTCGACAAAACATATTCCCGACCAATTTTTTTGGTCGCCAAGTTGGTCGGCAATTGAGGGTCGCGGAAAGTAATTAGCGACTAAAAATATTTTTAGTCGGCAAAACATTCTATTTGGCGACTAAATTGTTGGTCGCTAAACATATAATTATTGCGACTAACCTATTTAGGTATTTTCTTGTAGTGAGTGGACGTAGGCCCGACGTGCCAAACCACTGTAAATCGTTGTGTTTGATTTCTCTTCCCTTTGCTCGTTTTATTTAACTACTTAGTTTATATTGTTGAGCATATTTATTTATTTATTTATTATTTGGGTTAATTTTTAATTTGACAATTTATTTAGAAACTTAATTCACCCTCCTCTTGAGTTGCTTACTTGGGATAACATATATTTAGTTTTAGTTTTTTCCAACTAATTTATAATTTTTTTAAAAATAAATTCCAAATAAAAATTCTAAAAATTCAATCAAATAAAAATATTTTACAACAAAAGTTTTTCAACAATACTTTCGTAAGTGTTGGGCGAGTTCTCTTCGTAAGTGTTGGGCGAGTTCTCACCATATTAGAACTGGTTAAAATATATATATATATATATATATAGTTTTTATTTATTTTTAGGATAGAGTTTGCACCATAAATAATTTTTCTATTGATTATGACTAGGTTTAAATTTTCTATTATTATTATGCAGAAAAATCTTGGAGGCTAGGAGAAATTAAGACAAGTTTTGAAGATTCAAGAGACGGAAGACACGCGGCATTGTAAGAAAGAGATAGTAGATTTAGGAAGTTAAAAGTAGTTATTTAGGTGGTGGTTGATGAAAATTTTTTCTTTCATTTTTTTTTTATAAATTGTCATTAACGGCTCTATTGTATGACTTAATTTCCATTTCTTTTTTTATCTTAGAAATAGTTCAAACTTAGATAGGAGTAGAAATTTACTTGTAATTTGATTGTTTATTCAATCATTGACATCATCATCTTCTTATTCTCTCTTTCTCTTTTTCTTGTTTGTATTGCCATTATTTTTACTCCAAGAAAGTCCTTGAATTTTCAAGACATAGAACCTCAACACAATTATTTGATTATTATGTTGTTTGGTGAAATTTTAGTTAAGGGTCAATCTAAACCTAACAAAAAAATTTACTAACAAGTTTTGGCATGTCCAGTGAGACATTATCCTAACTTGGAGGAAAAAAAATGATACAAACAAAATATTAAGAAATTATGCTATCAAATGACATGTTTACATCTTGTGCACTCATGGATGCAAACCAGTAATGGAGTGGCAATGTTCCAATAGGTATAAATTATTATTGGAATGCCTCATCTTCTATGTATAATGATTGTCAATATCATGACAATGATTTTACCGTCTATTGCCAACATAATGGCATGACAAATGATATGGAAAGAATAATTCAGTGTTGTGAAGATGAAATTTATTAGTGTAGGAGTGAAATTTTGGTTCTATAAGAAGAAATTAATTCTTTTGATTGGCAAAATTTTCAAATAATTTCATCACTACCATATTATTTGATACAAAAAGATATAAATTACTTTGATGGAAAAAATCATCAGCTTAATTGTCAAGTTTATCAAGTTGATGGAGAAATTCAACATTGGAGTAAAAAATTAGAAAATATTATCCAAAAGGCTTTTCCAAGCAAAACTTTCTTTTCACAAAAAACCATAGCCAAAGAAGATTAAGTTATGAAAGTGGCATGCTTGGGGGAAAATTTTTCAAGCTATTAATTGAAAAATAAAAGACCAACTTCTTTTGCCAAAGGATATTGAACATTTTGATGTTAATAATCCAATTAGAGAGTATGGTTTTAAGCATGAGTATCACAGCACAGCCTATTGTTTTCACGTCTTCATTGCTTGGTTTCATAATTACCCTATCAAATAAAATAAGTTGCTGTCACAGTTAACAATGTTTATGGGATGTTCTTCTCTGATGATCCTTGTAATCAACAAAATAGACTATGCTCCATCTGCATGTTCTGAATGGGCGAGTCCCCTTGATAGTTCTTTCAATAAGGTCATTTTTACTTGTGCTGTTTCTGGACAAGGAATACCAGATTTGGAGGCACCAATTTTAGAGATTGTGGGTCTTAACAGGATTCCTTCTGGGGGATGCAAATGAACTGTGAATCAGGTTAGCTGCAAATTAATATGTAGTTTAATAAACAATGCTTTCCGCCTTCAATTGTTTCCTTTTTCCAACTGTCCAAGTGAGAGGACCAAGAAATAACAATATGCGTCTTTCTGTCTTGTCCTGATGTTTGATGCTTCTTGATTTGGTTCTGATTGACTTGTTATTGATGATGTATGGTTTAACAATCAGAGACAATGTGAGCAACTTGTTTGGACCAAGGAAGCTTTGTCTAGAAGATAGATATCTCCGAGGAAGTCTTGTCAAATACATTTGGCAAATTCTGTATTGGTAAATAGTTCACGAGTGATCTGATTTTAGAGTACTTGTTCTTTAAGAGTTCAGATTGTAGAGGCCAGAAGCCCATTTGATTCGATTGAATGCCCGTTTTGTGTACTACGGCATAGGTGTAAATTTTAACTATAATTACCCACATTGATGAATACGAATGTAGCGGATGAAATCTTCCATAATTGTCATCTTATTTGGATTCTGGAGGTTTATCCTTGTTCAAGAACACCATTAGCTTCCTTCCATGACTCGCATCGTTCTATATGAAAATGAACATTCTGGTGTTTGAAATGAAATGACTCTAACAAGCCACTTCATTCTATATGAAGATTCTATACCAAAAAATTATTTCTATTCCCATTAATCAAAAAATTTAACAAAATTGGATTGAGCTTGGTTTCAAACTTCACATAGCCTCAAGCTGCCAAATGAATCAACCTCAACCCAAAGAAATCTATCCACCTAGAAATAAGAGATTAGCATACGAAAAATTAGATGGACTAGGAAGCAAAAAATAGTGAACTTTCATACTATTACGCCTTGTACGTATTCATAAGTAGTAGAACAATAGTAGTTTTCTCCTAAAGACTATCTTCTGAAAAAAGAGACAATTAAAGAATAAATCAATTATAAATGATGGCTGCCAAGCTTATTGATTTCCTCCTAAACAATTGGCGATTACAATCCTGCATCCTCTCACGGCCTACCAATATTTACACTTTGCAAAAGGTCCTCCAGTTTCTTTGCCTACCAGAATAGATTGTAACCGTAAAATTCAGGCAGCCTGTACCTATTTGATTTTAATTTCCAGCTGAGTTACATAATTAATAGCTATATCTGGTCATCAAAATGGAACTATGACCCAAGCAGCAAAATACGTTTTGTGGGTCGTGAGACCATACTTGCTGGCAAACTACAAGCAATCTGATCAACTGATCACCTTTCGAAGTTCATCAACCAACTGTCCTCGACTTGATGGTTCCACCTACATTGAATTCCAAACACGTTAATTTTAAGACATAACAAAAATTATGTTGTAAAGCAAGAACTTACGTATAAATAATGGTTTACCTTTTGTAGGAGTGCAGCCAGACCTTTAGGCAGAGCTTGTAGATCTAATGGTGAATCACCAATATTTGATAATTGAATCAATACTTTCTGTATCCGCAACTCATGTAGCTTTTCCTCATAGTTCACTGGATCATCTTTCCACGTGAAGAAAGCTTCATCATTTGCCCAAGCATCTTCTCTGCCTTCCGCAATCTTTGAATCCAAAAACCACTTCTTGATCATGTCCATTGCAGATTTGTGAGAAACCTGATCACCAGCAGCGTCTCTCACTGTCTTAATCAATAACCCCTCAACAACCCTCCGGAGCAATCTTTTGTAGAAGAAAAACCGGCACTTATCCCACTCCACAACCTCTCTGATTACCCCTTTCGCCGCCATCCTCAGTGACGTATCGTGCAGTTCAGCAAATTTCATAGCTATCTGAGTGTAGACTGGCAAAAGCTGTTTCTCCCGACCTTTAATCTGCTGCTGAAGAGATTCAACATTTGCATGAGCCCCAGTACTCCTAGCTTCTTGAAGTCTCACTTTCAGATCAATCAGCCGTTGATCGAGCCTACCCATGCACTCCATCAGCTCCTTCATTCTGAATTTTATCTCGATCATCCCCTCTGGCTCGAGCACATTTCCCTTGGCTGTCCGTTCTGCATACATTTCAATATGGTCTGAATTGATCCTGCTATCCACGACAACCCATGCCCCGCCACGAAGCTCACCCATCATAGGGATGTATACAAAAACAGGCTGTTTGTACGTTCTGAGGTTCTCAACAATGGTTGATCCAGCCTGAAGGATTCCTTCAAAAAGGTCCCTCTGCCCGCCCGAAAAGCCTCTCCAGTTGGCAAGAATGAAAAGGGGGAGCTCTTCCCGGTTGAAGTCCATCAACGCTTGAGCTGTCTTTGTAGCCGAATCAGGAAACCATACTTGCCCAGCTTGAGGAACAACCCTTTCGTGGGAATCGAGCTGCCCGGGGTCCGCGGGGATAACTTGCATTACCGTTTGAGTCTCGACAGCAACTATTCCAACCGGGATTCCTCCAAGCTTTGCCCTTCCTGTCACAACTGTCCTTGCCCAGCCTTCGAGTGTCTCAACAAAGCTATCCTTGTCAAAAATACCCCCAAGCCACTTCCCGGTACCATCGAGCATACCACAGATAGCTCCACGGGGATCGCATGAATTCTGAGGGAAGTATTCAACAGGCCTCTCCAGAGGATCGGAGGGAGACAAAATGGGAAGTGGACCACCCGAGTAGGGCGGAACATAACTTAGCCACTTCAAAATAGCTGACACCCCTTCAAGATCATCTGAGACTGTTAGATGAACAACGCCATTGGTTGCCATGATTTTAGGTCCACCGAGTTGCATGTGGGAGCTGTAAACCTCCCGGCCCAATAATTTGTTTAGCGCGGAGAAACCTGTAAGAATAATAGGCTGATCGAGTCTCTGTATGCACCGCATCCCGAGACGAGCTAGATAAGCACCTATCCCAACAGTTCTTCCCGTCACATACGTCAACGTGAAGGTCTCCTTGTATGCCCTTGAATAGGCACTGGCAATGGCTCCACTCCCGGATAAGTTCTCAACCCCCAAGCCGTCCTCCTTCCCTATAATGCTATCTATTATCCATCGTGTCTCTCTGTTTGATAGCTTTAACTCGTGTGCAATCACGGATGATGAAATCCGTAAATGATCCTCGGGAGTCAAATAGACATACTGAAAACCACTCTCTGGGCTTGATTCATTAGACCAGCCGACTTTAAAACAAGCTTTTACCTCTTCAGCTACCTCAATACGAGCCCCTGAATTTGCTGCCAAGTAAATTAGAGGCAATTTCTTGACGCAAGCAAGATCGCTCACTGCAAGAAAAAATGCATCCTCCCTTGGACCAAAAGATCCGGCTCTGAACGTCACATCATTTGCTACTATCAAAATTGTCCTTCCAGAGGGAAACTCTGGTGTTGACATTTCCATAGTCCACGCAACCATGCCAACATCATTCAGCCCGGGTGGGCGCTCCACAGAAATAAGAGGAGTATCCCATAAACCTTTTCTGTCAGCAAATATGAGCTCTGTGACTTTAAGAACTTTACTGTTGACTTTGTTATGACCTGGAAATTGCGATGCCCAAGACTTTTCCAAGGCCATTTCAAATGCCTACAAACGAGATTACTCTTTAAGAACACCAATATTGAAATTTATATCAATAATTCGACATAAGTAAGGGTTCGAAGGTATTCACCAGTGGGAAATCATAACAGTAAGTGGTGTTGCTTTTCCGAGCCAAAAGCCGTTTTCTATCAAGAGCTCCCAATGGCTGATACTGCTCATTCACAGGAAGACTGTGCAGAGGGCCACACAGAGAGGTCGAATGGTAGACCACGCTTTGTTTGCTGTTATCCTCTAGTTCTCGATATATCTGAAAGTAATGTCATGTAATTTTATTATTTGATCCATATTCATAAAAATTTAGCATTTGAAATTATTAAATGTGAGAACTTTGAGCATAAGTTTGTGGAAGACCGTCCTTTCAATAACAGAAGTAATATAGACACTTACATGCACAATGCATGTGTGACCGGTCACGTTCTCAACCACGACCCTCCAAGCACCATTGGCTTGTCCAGCTGATGCCATCCAGAGCTTCACTTCCCACACACAAACACCCAAGCGATGCATTTTCACACCAATTGATGCATGGATTTCATGTGCCAGCCCTTCCAAAATCATCTCAACCGCAGCTTCTTCTTGCCCAGCATTTATTTCAACTCTCCTGGCAACATTATCAAAAGGTCAGTCCCCACGTTTATTTTGGAAGAGAAATTACGGAACAAAAGAATATAGATTTGATTACTTTGTGTAAGGCACAAGATCATTGATTTGTTGCTCGCGTAAGATATATAGGTACATATGAGCATGGTCAGATCTGATGGTAGCATTATGAACACGAAGTTCCAACTCTTCCATTGCAGTCATTAAGGACCTCAAAATGCTCCTTGAAGTAAAAGACATACTCAATTGGGATCTGTTTGTTCCCATGTCTAGCCCCAGGAAACCTTCATTTGAGTTTGACTGCCTTACAAGCGTTCTGAGAAACATCCTATGGATTGGTAATGGCTTGTCTACAACAGTGTAGAGGTGCCATTGACGGTCCCGGGACGGAGTATATTGTATATTCTCATAGCACTTGAGCTTTTCCTGGATTAGAACAAAGGTTAATTGATTTGATGTCAACTCATGGTGCATAGCAAAATTATTTTATATTATTATCATTATTTAAATAACACAGACCAATTCAAGATAAATCGATAGAGGAGGCTCCAAGTGACGTAATAGGGGCTCCTCCTCATAATGGAGCTTCTCTGCTGACCAATGAAAGGAGTGCCTCATTGGGGTTCGCCCTTCATCCCTCTGTATGATGCAGCTAATAACACCAACACCTGCACTTCGAAGACTGGAGCCTAGTTCTTTCTCTCTAAGTATTTTGGCTAACTTATTGATTCTCTCTTGAGCTTGATCCTCATCACCGCTGCACAGAGCCAGATGACAACATCAGTAAAGAAGGTGCACGGTGCCAAGGTGTAACTTGAGATTTTTATTCACAATGAAACATTAGAGTCACGTGGTGTAGTGAAAAACTCAGGCATATCATCAAGAGGAAGGGCAAAATAAATAAATAATTTGCATGGATCATGATTCAATTAATGGATTGGATTGATGTGAAACTCAGCTTTTGTTTATACTCTTAAGTAATCAGCAGCCTGGATCAAAATATAACTCCAATATAAATATAACCTGATAATCAGATTTGAATCAAGCACTGATATAGCTCAACTTTAAACCCAACTATATGCTTCCATACAATGTGCAAGAACCTTTAGGATCATGCTGCGGTAGGGATAGTGTGGATCCTAATAAGTATTGGACACAAACCACTCGACAGCAGATTTTTGAGTAAGGGTATTTTTGGTATTTCGGTATTTGTAACATGTTGCCCTAATTTTCTATGTATTTATAGTTGAGGGGAGGTGGATATATCTGTAATTCTCTTGTAACCTTTTTGCTCATAGTGAAAATCGCAGCAACTGTGGACATACCCATAGTTTGGGGTGAACTAAATAAATCTTGTGTTCTTTTCATGTGCGTGTGATTTATCTTTCTTGTGCATTTGTTCCTTTCTATGTTTCACGTTTCCACCAATCCTGGTTAGGTATCATGGATTCCTAACAGCTGCAGCTTCTGTACTGTTCCATAGGAAATGTGACTGCAAAAACCAAGGCAACTGGAGTGGAGTAGTTTCATAAAATGATGGATGTAGAGTGGGTTAATTCCATCCTAGTAGTGAATTGACCAAAACAGGCTTGTCTAAAAGAGAGAATCCTATATGCTATGTAAATGATGAAATTTTATATCTTCATATGATAATCTTGCTATTTGAGTTAAAGGGCAAAAATCTCATGGTTTACCTGTCCTGAAGCAAACTCATCTGGTTGTTGATTCCGACCAATGCAATATGCATCATATTACCATAGCTAGCTGGCTCAATAGATCTATTTTGGATGCTGTCATGTATATTATGAGTTGTTTCTCTTAACGTAGCGCTTATCACTGTTGGCAAAAACTGAAGCGATTTGATGATAACCATCGCTCCCCATTTCCTCTCGGTGTGTTTCTCAACTAATGGTCTGTCTGACATTTGATCTTCAGATCCATTTTTCCTTTCAATATGCTCTTCTAAGAACTCCCATGAAGCAAGAAGACTAGATCTGTTCCATTGCATCCTGACACTGCCCTTTATAAGGCAGGGCTGATGATGGATAAAGAGTATTAGATACGTATTGTCTCAAAGTAAGATAACCACATGACTATAAGATAGTGTTTGTTTTCTCATGTTTGGTCCATTAGAAAAATGATGAAAAAGACGGTTCAAGGATTCATCGTTCACCATTTTAAAGGACTAGTCATTCCATATGAAAGGCTAAGGAATGACCATTCCATTCTATTCTATCTTTATTCCAGTGAACCAAACACACCACAAGAGTTTCAACAATACTACCTGGTACAGTCTTCGAACATAAGTTTCCACAACCCGCCTCTGAAGGGTGTGATCACTGTGATCAAATAGACCCACAAGGGCATCTTCGACTGCTAAGGGAGCACTCACAAGATCCTCCATCCGTTCATTAATGGCGCTTTTCCTCTTAGGAGTGTCCATATTTTCACCATCTTCAGTAAACATCTCTAACTCGGAAAGACTTCTGGCGATGCTGGATCGGAGTTCACTCAGTTTGGTCTGTTCTAGCAGTTGGCTCGCTTTCAACGCCAACTGGAAAAATAAACTGGGATTTGGAACTCAATTCTAAAGAACTAATAATAACAATTACTAGAAAAAATGGAAAAGTGGCATTAGTTTACAAGATGGTATAATGATAACTAACACAATTCAATTTTATTTTATTTTATTTTTTTGCAAGAAAAACAAAGAAAGAAAATCATGCTGGAGTAGAACAACTCAGGGGAACTTCAACCTCAGAATAATTTGTATGGTTGAGTGCAGAGAATCGGATTAGTTTATCCCTGTATGCAGCAGGATTAGGGTACACCAATTGTTCCATGAGTCGTAATATCAGCTTATTTTTC